CACAGTGGTAATGAGAGACTTTAATACCCCCCTACAATAGAGTGGTCATCCAAACAAAAAATCAATAAATAAATTCTAGAAATAGATCACACCATAGATCAAATGGACCTAGCTGATGCCTACAGAATATTTCATCAAACTTCTGCACAATTAACATTCTTCTCAGCAGCCCATGGAACCATCTCCAAAACTGATCATACTTTAGGGCACAAAGCAAGCCTCAGCAAATATAAGAAAATAGAAATAATCCCATGCATTCTATCTGATCACAATGCATTAAAACTAGAACTTAACAACAGCAGAAAATATGCAAACATTTGGAAGCTGAACAACACATTGCTCAATGATCAGTGGGTCACTGAGGAAATTAAAAGGTTCCTGGAAGTTAATGAAAATGAAAACACGATCTACCAGAACCTATGGAACACAGCAAAGGCAGTCCTAAGAGGAAAGTTTATAGCCATGAGTACATATATTAAAAGGACAGAAAGATCTCAAATCAATGACCTAATGCTACATCTCAAACTCCTAGAAAAACAAGAACAAGCAAAACCTAAAACAAGCAGAAGGAGAGAAATAATAAAAATAAGGGCCGAAATTAATGAAATAAAAACAAAAAAACCATCCAAAGAATCAACAAAACAAAAAGCTGGTTCTTTGAAAAAATAACAAGATTGACAGACACCTGGCAAATCTGGCTAAAATGAGGAGAGCAAAAACCCAAATCCGTAAAATCAGAAATGCAAAAGGAGAGATAACAACAAACACAACAGAAATCCGGGAATCATCAGAGATTACTTTGAGAACCTATATTCCAATAAATTTGAAAATCTTGAAGAAATGGACAAATTTCTAGATGAACCAGGAGGATATTAATCACCTGAATATATCTATAACACAAAATGAAATTGAGGCAGCAATAAAGAGTATCCCAAAAAGAAAAGTCCAGGACCTGATGGATTATCTGTTGAATTCTATCAGACTTTTGAAGAACTAATACCTACTCTCCTTAAATTTTTCCATGAAATAAAAAGGGAAGGAACACTACCTAACTCATTCTACTAAGCCAGTATTACACTCATCCCAAAACCAAACAAAGACACCTCCAAAAAAGGAGAACTATAGGCCAATCTCCTTAATGAACATTGATGCAAAAATCCTCAATAAAATAATGGCAAACTGAATCCAACAACATATCCAAAAGATCATCCACCACAACCAAATCAGCTTCATGCCAGGAATGCAGTGGTGGTTCAACATATGCAAATCTATAAATGTAATACAGCACATTAAGAGTAGCAAAGACAAAAACCACCTGATCATCTCAACAGATGTAGGAAAAGACCTTGATAAGAACCAACACCACTTCATGATAAAAGCTCTAAGAAAACTAGGAATAGAAGGAAAGTACCTCAACATTGTAAAGGCTATATATGATAAACCTACAGCCAACATCATACTTAATGGAGAAAAACTGAAATAATTTCCCCTAAAATCAGGAATGAGACAAGGGTGCCCACTATCCCCACTTCTATTCAATATAGTCCTGGAATTCCTAGCCAGAGCAATTAGGCAGGAAGAAGAAATAAAAGGAATACAAATAGGTAAAGAAACTGTCAAATAACCTTATTTGCAGATGACATGATCACATATCTTAAAGAGCCAAAAAACTCTACCCAAAAACTCCTAGACACCATAAACAGCTCCAGCAAGGTGGCAGGAAACAAAATCAACTTAGAAAAATCATCAGCTTTTCTATATACTAACAACGAACAAATTGAGAATATATGGAAACAATTCCATTTGCAATAGCCTCAAAAAAAATCAAGTTCCTAGGAGTACAATTATCAAAGGATGTGAATGACCTCTACAAGGAGAACTACAAACCCCTGAAGAAAGAGATCGAGGAAGACTACAGAAGATGGAAAGATCTCCCATGCTCATGGATTAGTAGAATGGATATAGTAAAAATGGCTATACTACCAAAAGCAATCTACATGTTTAATGCAATCCCATCAAAATCCCCATGACATTCATCACAGAGATTGAAAAATCTACCCTAAAGTTCATTTGGAAACACAAGAGACTGTGAATAGCCAAGGCAATACTCAGCAAAAAGAGCAAAGCTGGAGGTATCACAATACCTGACTTCAAACTATATTACAAAGCAATAGCAATAAAAACAGCATGGTACTGGCACAAAAACAGATATGAAGACCAGTGGAACAGAATAGAGGACCCAGATATGAATCCACACAGGTATGTCCACCTTATTTTTGACAAAGGCAACAAAGGCATACAATGCAGAAAATGCAGCCTCTTCAAAAAATGTTGCTGAGAAAAGTGATTATCCGCCTGAAAAAACTGAAACTAAATCCATGTCTGTCACCCTGTACTAGTTATCAACTCAAAATGGATCAAGGACCTTAATATCAGACCGAAACTCTGAAGTTAGTAGAAGAATGAGCAGGTAATACTCTGGAAGCAATAGGTTTAGGCATGGACTTCCTCAATAGAATCCCAACAGCTCAGCAACTAAGAAAAAGGATGGACAAATGGGACTTCATAAAATTAAAAAGCTTCCACAAAACAAAAGAAATGGTCTCTAAACTGAAGAGACCACCCGCAGAGTTGGAGAAAATATTTGCCAACTATACATCAGAAAAAGGACTGATAACCAGAATATACAGGGATCTCAAAAAACTAAACTCCCCCCAAATCAATGAACCAATAAAGAAATGGGCAACTGAACTAAACAGAACTTTTTCAAAAGAAGAAATTCGAATGGCCAAAAAACACATGAAAAAATGCTCACCATCTCTAGCCATAAAATAAATGCAAATTAAAACCACACTAAGATTCCACCTCACCCCTGTTAGGATAGCTATCATCAAAAAAACACCAACAAAAAATGTTGGCAAGGAAGTGGTGAAAAAAAGAACCCTCATACACTGCTGGTGGGAATGCAAGCTGGTGCAACCACTCTGGAAAACAGTATGGAGGCTTCTTAAAAACTAAGCATAGATCTGCCATATGATTCAGCAACCCCACTCCTGAGGATATACCCAAAGGACTGCAACAGAGGTTACTCCAGAGGCACCTGCACACCCATGTTTATTGCGCACTATTCACAATAGCCAAGTTATGGAAACAGCCAAGATGGCCCACTACTGACAAATGGATTTAGAAAATATTGTATTTATACACAATGGAATTTTACTCAGCCATGAAGAAGAATGAAATCTTATCATTTGCAGGTAAATGGATGGAACCAGAGAATATCATCTTGAATGAGGTCAGCCAGACTCAGAAGACCAAAAATTGTATGTTCTCCCTCATATGTGGACTTTAGATCTAGGGCAAATGCAGCAATGTTGTTGGACTTGGGTCACACGCTAAGAGGAGAGCACATATGGGAGGAATGGGGATAGGTAGGAAACCCAAAACTTGAAAGTGTTTAATGTCCCCTCTGCAGAGGAGCTAATACAGTAACCTTAAAATGACAGAAGTCAATATGGGAAGGTGACCGGGAAGTAGTGAAGAGGCCAGGTAGAGATGAATTGATTTGGGTTGTAATATACTTGTGAATGGAAGCAATGCTAGGAAGAATCTCTCTGTATGACTATCCTTATCTCAACTAGCAAAACCACTTTGTCTTTCTTATTATTGCTTATGTCTGCTCTTCAACAAAATTGGAGAAAAGGGCAGAATAGGTTCTGCCTGGAAGTGGGGGCTGGGGGGGGTGGAGAGGGAGAGAGGTGGGGAGCAGGGGGAGAAATGGCCCAAACAATGTATGCACATATGAATAAATGAATAAAGAAAAATTCACTTGTGCACAGAAGCAATGCTAGGAATCTCTCTGTATGAAAAATAAATAAATAAAATCCAAAAGACAAAAATAGTATACTACTAAACACTTTTTGAGCTTGCTATATAAACCAAGAATAAATAAGACTAGTAGCCATACAACACTGTTAGAATTTGGAATTCAATAATTTACTTTGTTATACACAGTGGCAACCTCCTATTGCAGTTTGTGTGTTTTAAAATGTAAGTTAGAAAAAGTCACCTAAGGTTGGCCCAGATATCAAGAATGACCAAAGTATGATTGGGCACAAATATGAAGAGAGCCTGTTCTCTTTATCACATTGCCTCATGGTCTGTGTTTAAGTAGGAGAATGAAGAAAAAAGGCCTGGGAAGCTGTGTACTTGTTTCCCTCTGCTGCTCTTTCAGGAGGTCTCAGTTCTGGCAGGTTTTAGAATTTCTTTAACTTAACTTTATAGCTACACAGTTGGACCAAATTCAGGAAGCTGCTCAGATACCCTAAGAATGATTTTCTGACAATGCAATTTCTGTTTTCTAACACTATTCATTTTTGTGATGAAAATGAAATTGACACTGAAAGTAAAAACAAAAAGGTAACAGTTTACTTGTTAACTACTGCAGTCCAGTTCAAGAATACAGAAGATAATCATATAGCTTAGAAATAAAGTAATTAAAATGTTTCTTTAGGTAATACACAAAAAATTCACAAATGTATCATTATACTTTTGCAGGCAAGAAAGCAACTATGGGAAAAATTCGGGTTTACACTTAAAAGCTTCTAGCATAGGATTTTTCACATTACAGAGTACCGTGTATTGCTTCACTTTAGTCAAATTTCCCTTTAATTCAAATTGACTTCTTAATGCAGGACTTTAATTCAGATCAGTTTTACTCAATGATAGGTTTTGAGTGCAAACACAAGAAGATATTAACTATTGCACAATTAATTGCACTTTTTACTAAAATATCAATGATTCAGTGATTTTTTTATTACCTAAAATTTAGACTTACAGGGCTGGAGATGCAAGTTGGTGGTAGAATGCTTATGTAGCATACTCAATGCCCTGGGTTGAATCCCACACTATCCACACACACACACACACACACACACAATATCAAGAAATTTAGACTATGCTAATAGTTTGTGGTTAATTTTCTTTCTTTTTTTTTTCAGTCTGTTCTCAGTATTCTAGAGGAGTATTTGCCATTTTTGGACTCTATGATAAGAGGTCAGTACATACTTTGACCTCGTTCTGCAGCGCCTTACACATCTCCCTCATCACACCAAGTTTTCCCACTGAGGGGGAGAGCCAGTTCGTGCTGCAGCTACGGCCTTCTCTGCGAGGCGCCCTCCTGAGCCTGCTGGATCACTATGAATGGAACTGTTTTGTCTTCCTATATGACACAGACAGGGGTAAGTTCTTTTTCCTTACTTACATTCGGGAAAAGCTGACTTCCCATGTGAAATGGCTTTGTAGCACTTGTGTGATTTAGCAAAACTATGTTGAAAATAGTTGATTCGTATATTAATAGTGTATTATCAGTATTATTTTTTACTCTCAGGAGAAATTTCTAATTTAAAAATGCTTCTACCTAGCAAGTGTGAAACCCAGAGTTCAGAGCCCAGTAGTTAAAAAAATGTTTTTTTATCACCCTGATAAAAAGCTTCACATAATCTTGTAAATTTAATGTACATTTTTTTCGTAATTCCTCAATAAACAGTGGAACTATTTTTCCTTAATGTAACACTATAAAAGAAAAAATGCTCCTAACTCATAAAGTAAACCTTGCTCTGTCACTTTGCAGAAATAAAGGCAACTATGTGAAGGGAAAACAAACCAGGGTGTCTTTTCTACTGTCACATGACAGCCAACACAGAATACTCCGAGACATCTGGTCACAAAACTATGAGAAGTTTTTTATGTTTACACCAGCCAAACAGTTCTATGGCTAATCCCCAGCAGGCACAATTGTCTGACAGTGTCTACCTGGAGACCACAGGGTCCCACAAGTTGAAGGCTCAGTTCCTTTGAGCTAACACCTCACTTCAAATGCCCACCCACAAATTACGCTTCTGACTGATCAGCTATACATCAGGGTTCCCGTGATCCCCTCCTTCATTTTGATTAATTTGCCAAATCACTCACAGAACTTGGGAATCACTTTCCTTATGCGCATCCATTTGTTACAAAGCGTAGTATAAAGAACACAGAGGACCAGCCAGCTGGAAGAGATGTTGGGGGCAAAATGTGGGAGAAGGGGTCCAGAGCTTCCATGCCCTCTTTGGACATGTCACCCTCCATAAACTTCCATGTGCTCTGCTATTCCATAAACCATTTTTGCTGAAGTTGAATGGAAGCTTCATCATCTATTCATGATTGACTGCATCATTGGCCATTGGTAATCAACTTAATTTCTAACCCCGTTCAACTCCACAGAGTTGAAACTCCCAGCCCCCTAATCATGTCATGGTCTTTCTAATAAATGTTCCTCATCCTAATATTATCTAGGGGCCCTCAGCCACTAGTTATCTCATTAATATAGATATACCTATATCCCCAGAAGCTCCAATATTTTGGGACCAGTATTTTAGAAAATAAAGATAAAGACCAGTATTTCACAAATTCCCAGGAACTAATTCTTTTAAAATTTCTATAATGATATTTTGGTTAATAATCACAATGTAAATTGTTCTTTACATCAAACAGAAATGAGTTAATGTTTTAGAATATCTTAAAATAATAGCAAGTTGAGCCAGAGTGTTGAATTTGAAATACAAAACCATAAATGAGTAATTGAGGGACCAAGACAATGATGATAAAATCTGGCAGTCATTCTTCTGCTTGATGGCAAACTTCCATTTTATCTTCACCTATCAGCCTGTAAAGATCATTAAGTGATACCATGTGACCTGTGTGTTAGAGAGACAAGGTGAATGATTACTACATTACCTTATTGATAATCCATACATTCATGTACAATGTTGGACATAGGTGGATTAAGTTGGAGGCAAAACTTATGGAGTTCCCATATTTTTTTCAGTTCTGTTTTCAATTTAGTGACTAGAATGATAGCAAAATGGAATACTCTAAAATTAACATTAGGACATAAGTTTTTATTGATTCCTTTTACATTAAGGCTTAAATGTTATGAGAAGATAAGAAGTTAGAATCAAAGTTCAAAAAAGGAAATTTTAAATAAAATTCAAATTCGAATAGAATTCTATGAAATGAATTCTATTCTTTTCTTATTTAGCAAACAATAAACAAGCAAAATAAATATTTTGAGTATATAATATACCTTCAAAAGTCCCAAATATAATTCCTGATATTCAGAGATTGAAACTCATTTAAGATATTCATCTTTATGCCTAATGATTATGTATTTGATTAGAAGGAAACAGTATGCCATTTAAGATGTCACATCAGAGGTATTTCTAGTCACTATTTCTATTGGCATTCTTAGTAAATTCTCCTACCCAATTTGCTCAGCAAATTTAATTTCTATAAGGTTGAAGCTAGTCAAATTCTGACTTGGAAATGTGAACCTATCTGTAATTGCAAATGATTATTTCCATTAGTTAACAGTTTGAAGCATCTCAGGGAATGTGCTACACAAAATTACATTTCACTAGATGAAATTACCAAATTTCTTCTTGACTAATATTTTCCCATATAAGAGAAGTGAACACCCTGTTATAAACCTTTTGATAGTAATTTGCACACTGCATTGTATATGCATCTGCATACCTTTTCTTCCCTACAGGGAACGTGCATCTGCAGTAATTATTACATCATATTACATTTCTTTATCTTTTGTTTAGAATAGTAACCCCTGATAGATATGCTATAAATATAAAACAAATTAATGGATTAAGCAAGCAAAGTGCTTGACAAAAGATATCAAAAAATTTAAGACTGTAATAATGATAAATAAATATAATTCATCATTGGATAAAGGAGACATATTTCAATGGATCAAATGGTTAATAGAAAGCCAAAAATGAAAAACTCACATAGAAGAATGTTACTTGAATTCAAGGCAAATTTTTATTATGAAAAATGTTGAAAGATAACATTCATGATTTACATTTAATTAAACTTAAATATTTAGAAAAGAATTTAAAATGAATTTTCTGGTCACTGAAAACTTCATCTCTTCAAATCTAATTAATAAGATGTCACTTTACTCTTGTGAAAAAAGATTAATGCATACTAAATATAATTTATATATGTGTGTGTTGTGATGGTTGTTTTTTCATATGAAGAAAATCTTTTCAAAGTAATATATTTTTACTTATGTTTATTGCTTGGTATGTTAAACATTCATGTTGTGTCTTGCATCATTACTAACACCATGGGTAACAAGGAGAATTTATGATCTGTGAAGAGAAAAGGAGAAACAATCCTAACATTTTAATTTTTAAAATTTTTTATTAAGATATATTCATTGTATGGGAGGGATTCATAGTAATAATTCTGATTAGATTTATATTATACATTATTTACATTGCCTCCATAATCTCTCCCCCTCCCCACCCCACTTAAAGCAATTGCAAGAGGGTTCTTTGTTCTATTTCATATAAGTATATGAAGTCCATCAACCATATTCCCTCACCCTCATCTCCTCCATTCACTCTCCCCCCCCAACACTAGTACCCCTACATACACGCTCTACCTATTTTACAGTCCTGTCTTTATTCTTAATATTTAAGGTGATGTTCAAAGGGGTTTCTTAGTATAAATTCTAATGATGACTGTTAGTGTTTTTCAAAACTGTTATAATGGACAGCAATTTTAATTTCATCTCTAGAATCTGCAATGCCTGGCAATTTCCTTGTTTTTCTTAATCCTGGTTTCTTTAATGTTTAATTCTCAAAATGTTTTATGTGCATTACTGCTTTTGAGGCTTATGGTGTTATTTCAGCGGTTGCTAAATAGCTTATATCCAATATCTTATATATTACAACTTTATATAAATTGTTCCTAGGAGAGACATTTGTGGTAAAAGATAGAGCAGAAAAATCTCCTTTGGCTTGTTTTGGCTTGTTTCCTTCAGTTTATTTCATTTCCTGTTAGCATTGCTTTCATAAGACTATATTCTACTCATTGCATAATGTTTTCAGCAGATTAGGAGTACTCTTGGTGACATCATGTACCAGAAAAAAGCCACAACTGCAAAGGTTGTGAGGGGCCAGAGTATGTTGGTTTGGGTAGAGGGATGGATATTACTATTTTATTTCTACTTTTGAGGTTTCACTGCATACAGGATTTTCAAACAGCTTTAAATCCTTTTTCAAAAAAATCAAGATCAAGTAGCAGGAAAGGAATTAATGAAGAGGAAGGGGCATGAAGCACCCTTAAATGACATTTTTTTTCATTCAGTAGGTCTATAAACTTGCTGAACAGATCCTTCTATTTTCCTTTGGGGTTCATAACTCCTGTTCTCTTCTCTTCCATTTAATTTTCATATTGTCAGACTCATTTTCCTTTCCCCTCTTTATTCTCCTTCCATAGGAACCTAGAGGCAACATGATTTCAGGCAACCTTGATCCTTCTCTGTTAGGTTACCCAATATGGATGTTGCCAAGTTAATTTCATGTGAAGTCTTTTTGTTTGTTGGTTGGAGATAATTTTAATTGCAAGCAATTCTTTTATGATTTTCCTTGAGAAAAAAAATCTCTCTGAGAAATATGTAACTGACATCTGCAATGTAAAATTAGAGAAAACCTTAGGGCAGACATTATTTTAAGGAATGACTGGTTAGTAAGTCATTTGTTTCTTGAACTATTATCAGTTGGGATAAAGATGCCCAGAGAGCTGGTCAAATATTATTTCTGAGTGTCTGTGAGGGTGTGTCTAGGATAAATTGGTGTCTAAACTGGCATAGTGAGTTACTCATACCAGTGTGACTGAACATCACTCATCCATTGAAGACTCAGATAGGAAAAAAGGCAAAGGAAGGCTGAACTTGTTCTCTCTGCTTGACCTGGGACAGGGTGCTTCTGGTTCCCTGCACTTTGGGTCAGACACCTGGGGCTAATACCATCCATGCTCTGAATCTAGACCTTAGCTCTTAGACTGAGATTTTTGTTATTGGTTCCCTTGGTTCTCAGGCTTTGCTGGACTTCCAAGCTTGCAGATATTAGATTGTAGCATTTCCCAGTCTCCATAGTCACTTGAACCAACCCTTTGTAATCAATATCCTTATATATCCACACAAATATCAGCTCTTTTTCCCTGAAGAAACCTCATTAACAAATGCCTAAGAACCCCTTAAACTCTAACTCATAAATAATAAAGAGGGATAGTAGAGCAGAAAATTCTAATGAATATAACATACTGTCCTCAGTTCTGACTGAGCTAACATACTGACCCCAGTTCCTTCTTTGAGATCCCTTTCAGATAGAAGTGG